TTTCCCATTCGTGTGTCCAAACATTTGACTGGTACTATATATAGAATACAGTATATACATAAACAGAATATATATACGTAAACACATTTTTTGCAATGATCACTCAAATGTGGTGATCAAACACTTATAATGACGTGACAAAGATACGTAATGGAGGCAGGGCATTTAACAATTTAACAATAAACTTTATTATCCCAAATGAGCCTGACATCAGTGCACTGAACAGTAAAGTTTATTCAACTTTAATTCAATTCCATTCAACTTTATTCCTTTGAAGTGTATTTCACTTTGGAACATTCATTCACGGATTTGTGCAACGGTCTTCACCCTTCTCTAGTAAGTTTCGTCTGTGTGTGAAGTGTGACATAATATACCTCTGCAAATATATACAATATAAATTCACGTCTCATGACCATTGATTGTAACGTGTACGTTCCCTTGGAACTGGAATCATGGAGGAAAGCGGGCCTCTAGACATACACTCGATTCTTGTTCAAGAGGGTTCCTCGAGCTGAAGGGATCCCCCGAATTTGGTGCGGATTCGCCGTGCCGTTACGTAGATATGGCCGTTCAAAGTTTCAATGGTTTTCCATAGACTTAAGCTTTAAAGTGTTTCATCCAGGTCGCCAGTAGCAAACAATGGAGCGCGCTCTGCTGGACAAACTAAGTAATTACACCATTTCAAGCATTTTATACGAGTTAAATGTACTGTAAACAAAAAAATTCATATCGGCAGCATATATCGGCAAACAGGCTCATATCGGCCGATAATATCGCCAAAACGATATATCGGTCGGGCTCTAGTAATAACCGGACATTTACAAAGCATGTAACAAAATAAAATTGACTTCATTATGGGAAACTGTTTATTGATGAACACTATGGAAAACACTTTGAAACTATATGAAGTTTGTTTTTATGCATATAAAATATCAGGGTTTAAAAATAAAAAAAAAAGGTATTTTAAAATTCAAAGATTTTTTCAGGTAATGGATGTCAAAAACTTGCTACATTAAATCAACAGCGTTTAAAGGTTCAACAACTCCGTAAACATCAGTGTTGCACAATCCATATGGGACTTAAGACACAATGGTGAATCACTGCAGTGAAACTGTTGTTTTCCATTTTTTTCCCCCCCAACACTTTTCTGACATCAGCTGAAAGGAGCAACCTGATTATCCAAACATCATAAAACATTTATAAACGTACAACACCATTTCACTCAACTATACAGAGGAAGTCATTATTGTATATATATATATTTTTTTTTTTTTTGTTAAAGCTACACTGTTTTTCCAAGATAGCCCATTTAGACAGGAGTTTCCTTCGTTTACAAGACATAGAATGTTTACTGCCAAACCTTTATGGTTAACCTACACTCCTAAACTCTGGCTTTCAACAAACAAACTGAAATACTACATAAACTACATAACCCATTTATGCACAAAAGGGTTTTCCTGTGCTAAACGGATGACAACAGGACTCAATATGTGGCAGAGAGTTTCTCAGACATTTGGTAACAATTTGAGCTAGCAGAGGGAGGGGGTGTATGCCCTGAACAGCTCATTAACCTGACTGGCAACACATCAGCACCTAGGGACATTAGCTGATAAACAAGCATCAAGACACATTCTGAGGGAGAACCCTGCTAAAATTACACTGCTAAATACTTTCCTCCCTTTAATCACCGCAAACTGTGCTTTTCTTTTCCCTACAGCCAAAGATGTTGTATGAACACAAAACCGCTAACACCTGAAGTCTAGAAAACTTGTGTTATAAGCTCTTGGCTAAATTCACACAAACATTTAAAATAAACCTGGCAACACAACTAACATTGTTGGAGTTTAACTCAAACTGACATTACTTTCTTAATTCACGTTTCTGGTCTTATTGTGAGTGATTCTTCTATCAACGCATAAATATCTATCAATGCATGGAAGAATTTGTCTAAAAAAAAAAATTGTCTTGCTTTTCACTCAAAATTGATTCAAAAGTTTGGGGTCAATACGATTTGTTTGTTTTTGAAAAGTCTTATGTACAGTGCATTTATTTTATTAATAAAACCGCAATACTGATAAATAGTATTACATTTTAAAACAACCATTTTCTATTTTAATATTGCAATTATTATTTATTCCTGTGATCAAAGCTGAATTTTGTCAGCATCATTACTCCATTCTTCAGTGTCGCATGATCCTTCAGAAATCATTCTAATATGCTGATTTGATGCTCAAGAAACATTTATCATCAATTAAAAATTGTCTGAAACCTTGTAAATACATTTACTGTCACTTCTGATAAATTGAATGTAAAAATTTCTTACAAAAAAAAAACAAAAAAAAAAACTGACTGACCCCAAACTTTTGAATAGTATGTCACATTACAGAAGCAGCAAAATAAATAAATTACAAAAAAAAGTTCAGCTTTTCAAGACATGTCAGAAAAGAGTGAGCGACCAAGGGTTTAATCTGTAGGATTTTATTAAAATACCTTGTGGAATTTACCATCAGAGGTTACCATCACAAACATGATTGTTTTCTAATAAAAAAGTAAACAAAAACAAAAGTAAAGCTTAAGAGCCTAGTTACAGGTTTTGTGTTTTTTGTGGGGTTTTTTTTTTTTTGTGGTTTTTACTTTTTTGCAGTCTGGTGATGGGGAGAAAGGAAAAAAAAATCAATTCACAACAAAAAGAAGGTAAGAGAAACTAATAAAAAGTTCACATGTTGTAAAAATACATTTCCCAACTTCATCGTTACACGCAGTTCTATTAAAACATTCATTCTTCTGTTGTTAGGTGTCAGTGTGACAAATACGCAAAAAGAAAGGAGAAGAGAGCGATAGAAAGGAAAACTATCACAGAGGAACACTCATTGTTGAAAGATGGACTGTGTAAGAGAGCTCCGGAGATCTACAACACGATCTTCATTGGGATGGAGTTAAGAGTGTAACTGGCGGCTGTGGGATGTGTGTGTGTGTGTGTTTGAACCCTGAGAGAAACCGACTGCTGCGAGTCCATATCTGTCCTCTCCAGCCTCCCTTCACGGACTAGATTTAATCACATCGGCGGCTCCTGAAAGGGTCTTTCATAGTGCCTGAGCATTTCACACCTCAAAGTGAAAGCCATTTGTGTTCTCCAGATATATGAGCAACATATGGCTAAAGAAAACAGCCTCCTCTCTCTTGCATGTGTGTTTTGCTGGCGAAAGAGGAGAGGTCGGGGGTTTCGTCGAGAAACAGATTCACCAAGCCCACCACGATCTACGACATTAAGGCCGCAAGGGGAGCACAGGACGAAGACGGGAAACGGGATGCTGAGGGTCATAGTATCCAACAACACTCGTCTTGAAATGTTTCAATACAACATGTTGAACACTGAATGACACAAACTAGATCAAAACGTCTCATTTCTTGGTTTTAACACACAGTGCACATCTCATATCAAAGCTGGATGATGCTGACGGCAAAGTAACACCACGATAATGCAAGAAGAAACTCGAAAAATTCAAAACCGCTGTAGTACAGAGAAACTTTACAGTCTTGACGAGAATAAAGGGCATCACTTCAGGCTAAGAAAAGCTGCATGTCACTCAAAATTCATCATCAACACGTAGCCAATGGGGAAGCGAGGGGGAGGGGCCTGATAGGTACGACCATCTCATTATCATGCATGAATCCATGAGGATTGACAACCGAGGACGACCACCGTTCGGGACACTTACAACAGCTATCAAAAACGGCCTGTTTGCAGGTAGCAAATCTACCCCAATCACAAGAGTTTCAAAACCTCCTCCATTTATTAGCATACATCTCGACTAAGACATGAAACTGTGCTCCTTTATACAGAAAATTACAGATCGAGAACTTCCTAAAGCTAAAGCCTGAGATTCAAACTACATCTAATGAAACAATATAATAGACATCCTATGCTTGGAGGAAGAAAACAAAACAGCTTTGCGAATAACTGATGCACTGGATAAGCAGTCACACACGGTCACATACATGCAGATGCATACACACACCCTCAGAAATAGAACCTATTATCTAAAAAAAAAAAAAAAGCTGTACAACGCGAGAAAGTTTTGAGCATACATTCAATATCTGTTACTGAGGTACTAGAAAGGCCTTTCTCTTCAGACAGAAGGCTATCCCGAGACACTCTCCTACCTTCTTTGGAAAGCAACCAGCGCTCCAGTGACCTAGCTTTACATTCTGTCCACCTTATCTCCTGTGCTCTAAATGGTGAAAACGCAGAGAAAGCGAAGGCTGATATCATAGAAGACAGCCATGATAATGTCAAGCTCTGGGTAAATGACCTGCTTTAATTCGGTGTGGCGCAGAGCCGGCACATCACCCATCCTGAGTATATGGAAGAGTGTCGACGATGAGCGACATATGGTGCGGCCCACAACAGGTCTGACTGAATCTCTCCTAAACCGTCACGAGGCTCTGTGTGCAAGAAACTAATGAATTAATCAGCCATGAACCTGAGGGGGAAAGCGAGTCGTCGCCACCAGCTGGCCTTCAATGGTACTGCAGCCTCCAGAGCACAGCTCACCTAAACCAGGTCTGTATGAAAATGTGTTTGTGAGTGTGTTAAGAGTTTAAGTGCCTTGTGGGGAGGAGGAAGGGCAGAGCGGGCGGATGCGCTACACAGTTGGAGGACGAGTGGGTGAAGGGTGGACAAGTGTGCCTCGCCGCGTCACAAAGAGAAGGCCTAATCCGAAAAAGGATGCACGAGGAGGAAGTACGGCAAGAGATAATCCAGGACAGAGAGAAGATATGGAAAACAAGGCAAATATTTTTCAAATGGCTACGAATAAAAAAAAGGTGCCAATGTTATCAGCTTAGCTATGGTGGATCTCAGTATGAGTCGAGCAGAGGTCAATGTTGTACGCACACATTGTAAAATGAGCCTCTTTTGTCTTTTTGAAGGTAGGTTTAAGGTGTCACAAATCTTGCAGTTGTGTCTTGTTAAATCAGCAATGTTATACACTGCATGAATATGGCTTTGTTTGAAACTTTCATTTATGAAGCTGGCTGCCTATGAGCGATCTCCCATTATCATCAAGCTGTTCACAAAGCAGCACACAAAATAAAATGAATTCGGCCATCACAGGACGATGGAATCTCACGTATGTGATTTCAGTGACACTTATGCAGACCTCAGACATTACGGACGCTGTAAATCTCGTGACTTAAGTGGAGCACACGATCAAACCCCCAACAGCTCTGGGGGCGAAGCTCTCTTGGTTTCTGCAAAAAGAGAGAGAGAAACTGGACAATTCTAGAAGATGCCTTCCACGTGAAGAGAGAGTGAGAGGAACGCGAAACATCTGAGCTCTTCCCTTGGACTGTTACTCTTAGCCACGGGCCATAACCATTAGCCTTGATCTCTGTTATTGAACACCAGCTGTGAAATAATTGCTGATGGCTGCTGAATCTAATCAAAGACGTTAGCCAGCTGTTACTGTGTGTTGATGATCAAACGTTTGCTAAGATGGGACAGGTTGAGAAGGTTTTACAAATGTATGCTAGGAGGAGGATGAGCAGGGGACGAAAGAAAGAAAACAAGGTCCATGCGTTTATTTCCACGCCTGTTAAAACAGATAAGAAAAGAACAGAAATGTAAGAAACACTACTCGGAAACAAACTCCAACTAGTCCAGAGTAGATACAAAGCAAAGGAACTGGGATTTCGTAGCTTAGAAATAGTGTGTATCAACCCAATTATTGAATCCTTGAGAGAAGTTATTGCTTTCTGCCAAAGTATACAACAGAGGATAGAGCGAGTGGAAATGAGGGGTACGTTCGGGGTAGAGGGTTTTACTCCTGGGTTTGTACACATGTTCTGTTGGACTGGGGTGACCCAAGGTCACATCGAAAGCAGGGGCGTCAGTCCCCCCGGGTGATGTGAAAGGGCATCGATCAGGGCAAAGATGGAATGTGCTGGGATGCTATTGGTCGGAAGGGATGTCTCTGTCTGCCTCGGCCTTGGAGGGTTGCCCGGGTGACGGGGTGTGAGGTGGGTGTGAGACCGGGGCGATGCCGTGGGCCAGGGGCAGAGATCCAGCCACAATGCCCTCCACTCCTGCCCCAGCTCCAGGCAGCCCACCTGCTGCTACGCCAATCAGCCCTGCAGGGAACCTGCAAGAGACACAATCATGTTTTCACTTTCTCAAATACGATCAGATACTGTAAAAGCACTAATGGCAGTCAGGATGGAGGTGTAGTTACCTATAC